CTCCAGCTTGTTTTCTGGAACCATTTGCTTGAAAAACATTTTTCTAGCCCTTTACTTTGAGGTGGTGTTTATCTTTGTTGCATAGGTGTGTTTCTTGGATGCAACAGAATGTTGGATCCTGTTTCCGCAACCATTCTGTTAGTCTGTGTCTTTTTATTGGGGAGTTGAGTCCATTGATATTGATAGATAGTAGTGACCAGTGCATGTTAGTTCCTTTTGTAATGGAGTCGATGATCTTACCCTGTTTCATTGCTTGTTTTCTTTTCATTTTTGTTGGGATATTATCTGTATGCCCTGTTTTCTTGGGTGAAGTTGTTTTCGTTGGATTGGAGTTTTCCTTCTAGTATCTTCTGTAGGGTTGGTTTGCTGTGTAGATATTGCATAAATTTAGTTTTGTCATGGAATATTTTGTTTTCTCCATCTATGTTAATTGAAAGCTTTGCAGGGTATAGTAGTCTGGGTTGACATTTGTGATCTCTTAGAGTCTCCATGATACTTGCCCAGGCCCTTCTGGCTTTCATAGTTTCTGATGAGAAGTCCGGTGTGATTCTGATAGGTCTACCTTCATATGTTACTTGGCCTTTTTCCCTTGCTGCTTTTAATATCTTTTCTTTGTTCTGTAGATTTAGTGTTTTGACTATGATGTGTCGTGATGTGTTTCTTTTCTGGTCTAGTCTATTTGGAGTTCTGTAGGCTTCTTGTATATTTATAAACATCTCTTTCTTTAAGTTGCGAAAATTTTCTTCTATATTTTCTTGAAAATATTTTCTGGACCTTGGAGCCTGGAGTCTTCTTTTTCATCAATTCCAATTATTCTTAGATTTTGTCTTTTCATAGCGTCCTTGGTTTCTTGAATATTTTGTGATTGGAACTTTTCTGATTTTACTTTTTCTTTGAGAGAAGTATCAATTTCTGCAAGTGTGTCTTCAGCTCCATAGATTCTCTCTTCCATCTCTTGTATTTTGTTGGTGATGCTTACTTTTGTGGTTCCTGATCTTTTCTCCAAGTTCTCCAGCTCAAGGGTTTTCTCATTTGTGTTTTCTTTATTGATTCTAATTCTGTTTTCATGCCTTGCACCATTTCTTTCATCTGTTTGAATTTGGATTCCTGTCTCTCTACGATGGTCTCTATTTCCTTAAAAATATGGAACGCTTCACAAATTTGCATGTCATCCTTGCGCAGGGGCCATGCTAATCTTCTCTGTATCGTTCCAATTTTAGTATATGTGCTGCCGAAGCGAGCACTTACATTCACTTTTTATCTCTGGGGCAAAAAATATGCTCAAGATTATTTAAGTTAATTAATGTTTACTTTCAGGTTCATAGAATACTTAATCAGTAAATACAACAATATAATGACTGAAAATAAAAATTAAAAGGCTGGATATCTGTATTATTAAAAAAAAAAGTCTTGAAATTTTCCAGTGAAATCTGAAATAGAGCAAATAACATGCCTTGAAGCTTATGCTCGAAACTCTATGAGGAGAATATGATGGAGCAGAAAAATTCCTGGGACCTTCAATTTTTTTGTGTGTTTAGAAACAAAGATTTCCAATTGTGTTATAGTGTCAATAATACAGTACATACTATAAAAGCATTCAGACAAGAAGAAGAACTCTTATACCCTGGACAATTTAAAGACTCTGCCGCCCAGGTCTGTGTAAATGTACTGTGTAATGTGTGTATACAATGACAGGATAATCTGGATAATCAGGATAATCTCAGAACATGCTCTGTACGTTATAAATGACTATAATTGTAGATTTGTTTCTGTTTAAGCCCTATCATTGATTTCCTTCTGTGATCTTATTTATTCAAAAAAGTATTTGCACACTCAAGTCTTTGAACTTACAATATCTCCTCTGTGAACACAAGAGTTAAGCCACATTTTTATAATATGACATTATATTTTGAGCTTGCAAATTTTATGAGGATTGCTTTTTTTTGTCCCTATATTAATTTCTTTTCTGCTGCTGTGCTATAAAACCTCAACTCCCCCAGGGACATACATTTCAACCATAAAATTCTATCTTTGGTCCCCATATGCTCATGGCCATCCCATGATGCAAATGCATTAGTACTTAAACATTCCCATAGTTTTTAGCAGTCATTCCAGTGTTTAAAAGTCCATATTTTCTTCTGAGACTCAGGAAAGTCTCCTAAGAGCAACCCCTGTAAAATAAAAAATAAAAAAAAAAACAAATTCTTTCTTCCAGTTTTACAGTGGCAGAGAGTATACATTCCCATTCCAAAATGGAGGAGTAGGAGCACAGTGAGGACAGATGGGAGCAAAGTAAGACCAAACCCCAGCAAAGAAAACACAGTCCATAACTGCATGCCCAGTCTCTCCAGCTTCAGCTTCAAAGGGCTTGGGTGGCTCTGCCCCCCCCCCCCATGTGCTTCCTACAGCATGCATCTCTTCCAAGGAAGTTTGTACCACTTGTATGCAGCCCGCCTTGGCAGGTGTCCTGTGGCTCTGGCATATCCACATCTCTATGTCCCCAGCACAACTTGGGCTCCATCTTCATAGCATCACACAATGACCCCAAAGGCCTTCTTGTGGGTACTCCAACCTCACCACACAATGCCTAGCCTCAATGATTGAAACCATGGAAGATGAATCTGTGATCCCTTCAATCTTGTATCTCTTATTATTCCAGAACCAGCAGCACATGATAACACTGCCAAGTTCTAATTCCAGCTACCATGGAGTTATGGTCCCCCAGGAACACAGTTGTAATAGCTCCATATGCCAAAGCTAAAAAATAAAACAAAACAACAGCAACAACAAAAACCTTTAGGGCATTGCCTTCCAGGAGCCAGAAGGCCCTTGCACTCTTTCCTGTCAGCAGTTGGAGGCTTTAGTGGATGAGGTCTTATCCTCAGAATACCTTTCCTGCTCTTCAGTACAGAGCAGCTGGCTTTTCTTTACTGATACTAATCTCTTTAATAATTACAGCCTCACGTTTTCAGCACATGCTTTAGCTGTAATCTTTAGCTTCATCAGAATGCTGAAGTTTTGTTTTTAATATCTCTGCCCCATTTTTTGCTCTTTTCTCACTGTAGATATGCATAAATGTAATCAGTAATAACAAATAGCAGGAATTTTGTATTGTCTTAAAATTTCCTCTACCAAAAAAAAGTCTATTACATTTTAATGCAGCCTCTCGCACATTTTCAGATGTGGGAAGAGTATATGCATATTCTTTGGCCAAAATCATGCAGACAGCCCTAGCCCCATTCTTGATAGAGTCCTTGTCTCTCATGAGCTGGGCCTCCATTGTCTGTTTTCTATCAGCATTCCTATCTTCCAAGTTCCTACTAGGACAGCCTTTAAACTCCATTTGCAGCATTCAGCTGCTTTTCTAGCCCAAGTTCCAAAATCTGCCACATTCCTCCCACAAAAAAAAGGCCTAAAAAGCACATGATCATGATGGGGAACAGGACAAGAGCCTTCCACAGGGGCCTCTGAAAGACTCTACCCACCAGGGTGTCAAAGCAGATGTTGAGACTCACAGCCAAACTTTGGGCAGAGTGCAGGGAACCTTATGGAAGAAGGGCGACTTAGACCTGGAGGGAATAGGAGCTCCACAAGGAGACCAACAGAGCCAAAAAACCTGGGCCCAGTCCTCCAGAGACTGATACTCTAACCAAGAACATGCATGGAGAAGACCTAGACCCCTTACTTATATGAAGCCCATAGTCTGCTCAATTTCCAAGTGGGATCCCTAGTAAGGGGGTCAGGGGCTGGTGCTCTGATCACCACTCCTGGGAGTGGGAGGGGTGCACCCTTGCCAAGCCAAAAAAGGAAGATGATGCAGCCAGCCCTGATGAGACCTGATAGACTAGGGTCAGAGGGAAGGGGTGGAGGTCTCCCTTATCAGTGGACTAGGAGAGAGTCTCCACATATGGGAAGAAGAGGGTGGGTGGGTGAGGAGACGAGGAGGAACTACAGCCAGGATACAAAGTGAAGAAATCATAATAAACAATAATGAATTAATTAATTTAAAAAGCACATGATCAGGTTTACCACAGCAATTGTCTCCACCTCTTGGTACTAATTTCTGTTCTGTTGCTGTGATACCCTGACGAAAGCAACTTGAGGGAGGAAGGGTTTCTGTTGGCTTATAGTTGTAGAGGGGCTGCAGTCCACCATGGCTATGGAATCTCAAAGCCCTTCCCCAGTGGCATACTTCCTGTAGCAAGGTTACACCTCCCTAAAGGTTTTGTAACCTTCCCAAACAGTGGCTCCGGTTGGGACTAATATTCAAACACATGAGCCCATGGGGAACATTTCACATTCAAACCACAGTAACACTTCTTGTATGTGTTTTATAAACAGCACAAAGAAAAAGGTCATAGGGAGGAATAGGAACAAAGACAATTTTCATCATTCACAATAACTCATCCGGCTATGTAGATATAGATAAGTACAAACAATAGTTATGAACAAGTGAAAAGGTACATGAGGTTATCCATCAAAATAGGAAACTATGATAAAGGATATTTTATGAATGTTATAGGAATGCAGATTTGCAGATTGTGAGAACCACACAATGTATATTAATCTGCCATGCCTTACTTATCATTGTATTTGCCCAGAAAATGATAAAATGGAAAGTAAGAAATACTAGAAATAAGAGATTGATGCAGTGTTTGTTTTAACTCGATGCCATTGAATGAGTCATTCATGTAAATAAAATACTAAAAACAGTTATAAATAATTTAAATCTGTAGCATCCCTTAAAATAGCTTTTAAAATAACTTCTTGGAGTAGAAGATTGTATTATGCCTTTTTAAAGCACTTTTTTTTCCTGTTATTCTTGGTACATTTACCAAGGACTTTGGTCACTTATTAAGTATGGTTGGTTTGTCATTTATTAAAAGCCTGAAGCAATTACAAAATAAAAATTACCTATGAAATGTCAGCAAAATTTATCTTTTTTCTTTCTCTTTCTCTCCCTCTCTCTCTCCCTGCCCCTCCTCTTGTTCTATTTTCAGGCCTAACAGAGCTGAATGATAGTCCAGTTCCCCTGGAACTTGAGCGCTGCAAGTCTCCCACTTCAGGTAAACAGAGTGGTATTTTTCAAGCTTGTGGTAATTCGCTGAAGTAAGCTATTTATTTATTTTCATAATTCTTTCAAAATTAGTAATTAGTTCAGTTTTTTAAATTTAATCATAATTAGCTTTGTTTCCAAAATAAATACAAATGAATGTCTTTTAAATATCCTTGGCCCAAAATAAAAATAAGATATGAGTATAACACTTTTAAATACATCTTAAAGAAAGATCATTTTTAGGATATAGTAACGGTGCCTAAGAAGTGTCAAATAAAAATGGGTAATAGATACAAAACTTTGTCATCTATTTTATAACTAAATTTGTGAGAAATATAAACTTTAGGGGCAGAAAAAAATTATAGTATGCACCTGGACCACTATTTCATACATGTTTATTTATTGACAAATTAAAATGAAATACCATATGAGATAAACATCTTCAAGATAAAGTGTCACTAAATATACACATAAAAACATAAAGAAAGAGATTCCTAAAGATAACTCTTTAAGGCTTTTAAATAAATTAATATCTTGGCATGGTAGAATTCTAAGCAGTTGCCTATTTTTTTAAAAAATTAACTGATTATATATTATCTCAATTTTTTGAAAATTATTTTTAAAGTATCTGATTATTCTAAATTTTCTGAGTATATAAAAATGTATAAAATTTTAGCACCTAATTATCATGTGTATGTAGATACTAATTAATAAAGCAACAGTTTTCTTTAACCCCTCTAGCTTCCACAATAATAGATACAGAGAGACTATGATTTATTATTAAGCTGTAGATACTATGCTGGGCAGATTGTGAGCTATTTTTAATCCTACTAGCCTTAAACCCACGTAAAGGTCAACCACTTACCAACCTGATGTGTCCTGGGGAGCTTTTGCTCCATCAGTCTGTCCTCCTGGCCAGGTGCTTATTGTCCATCTTGCCCCGTGTTGACTCCTTTCTCTTTGGCTTCCTCTCTTCCTGCTGCCTCTTCTGCCCTCTTCCCATCCTCATGGTCTCTGGACCCCAAGCCCAGGAACCTAAACTCCGTCTACCTATCTTCTGCCCAGTCATAGGCTTCAGCATCTTTCTTAGCCAATCAGGGCTAATCAGGAGAACATTCCTTATATCACATGGTACAGGAGATGGTTCAACATTCATAACAATGCCTGTGGCAGAGAGGGAATCTGACCTCAGGACACTGAAATCAGCTTCTGAAAACACAGTGCACGAGGCCCCTTCTCCAACATGTGTGTCTTTGATACTGCATTAGATCCATTCCTACCAAATTTCACATGGAGTGATTGAGGTGTAGCTAAATGGTAGACTGTTTGCCCAGCATGTACAGGGCCTTGGGTTTTGGTGCCAGCAATGTAAAAGACATTTTCTTTTTCTCAGAATAGCAAAAGATATCATTACTTTTTATTTACATTATATTTTTTGAAATTTTATTTGGAATTGTCAAAATTTAATGCTTTTTATCTAGATTTTAGTAATTATTTTAGAATTCCATCATTTCTTCAATTTGCTCTTTACAACCCTTTACAAGTTGCTATATTTTTTTCCTTGCTCTACAAGAGTCTAGCCTATTGTGTCCTGTGTGAAGTTTTCTTTTAATAAGAACTTTTAATTCTTATTTTATTGCTTTTTATGTAAAAAAAAAAAAAGATAATTGTACCTGGACCTAGGTCCTCTATTTATAAGTAGCCAATGGGCACCTTAGGCTTCATGTGGACCCACTGGTTAGGGGAGTGGGGGATATTGCTGACATGCACTATGCTGCCTGCTTTTTGATCACTTCCCCCTGATGGGACTGCCATACCAGGCCACAGGGGAGGAAGACAAAAATCACTCTTCATGTGAATAGACGAACTGGGGTATCTGTGTAGGGGGCTCCCCTATTCTCAGGAATGGGGGAAGTGGATACAAGAGGGAGGGTGGGACAGAGAGGGGAGTAGGGAGAAACCTATGACCAAGATGTAAATTGAATTGATTAATTAAAAAGATGAAAAAGATAATTTTATTTGTGTGTGTGTGAGTCTACAAGAATATACGTGTAGGAGCCTGCAGAGGCCAAGCTAGGGTAACAGATCTGGAACTGAAGATATAAACAAGCGTTGTGAACAATCATGTATATCCTGGGAACCAAACTGGTTGCTGTGCAAGCGCAATACTTTTAACCACTGAGCTATCTCTCCATCCCATGTTGATTTTATTTTAAGATGCCAAATGGACGCTTTGTTTCCCATCCTCATTGGCACCATTGTGATTTAGAGAATCAATGCCTCATACCTAGGGTAACACAAAGGTATTCTAACAAATGCCCTTTCCTTTTAAAATCCCCTCACAGTTCATTCTTCACGTCATGTTGCAGAATTAACTTCCATAAAAATTTTTTTGGTCATATTTTCTTGTAGTTAACAATATTTCATATAATTCAATATTCTGTTGTTGCTCTAGTTTTGGTAGTAGGCTAAAAATGTTTATTATTAGCCTACAATTAAAAAAAAGAAAAAGAAAAAAGCCTACAATTATTACGGTGATATATCTAGCCTGCTATCATAATCAGGAAAAGACACTGACACCTGCTAGATTTTAGAACTACCTATACCACCTGGGACTTGACAGATACTAACCGTCTAATCTATCTTTACCTCTCAGCTCCATCCCAGGCTACCTGCCATCCATAATTCCATAAATACTTGCTTATTCTTTTTCTGGGCCAATTCCTCCATCCATGCCAGCCATGCATTTCTCCCATGCTAACCCAGGGCTCCACATTTCTTCATTTTTCCTTCTCCTCTACCTCCTCCTTCCCAAGAGCCCTCCTGTCTCCAAAGCCCTCAAACCTTATTCACGCCTACCCCATTTGCCCTACCCAGGTATGTTGGCTTTTTCTTGGTCGAGCAGGAATAAGTTGTTAGGCAAGGTTACAAACATCATTTTGGGGTACATGAATGTCTGCTCATAAAAAAAAAAGCAAGGAGATCTTGTTTAATTAATTGCATATTAATTAACAATCAAATACAAAGCACAAACACGTGCTATTGTTTCCTATATTAGACTGTTGTAGCAACTTAAATTTAAATTTCCTTCTTAACCTGAATTTAAGTAATAAACTTTGAGCTCTCCCTTTCATTCTGTTCTTATGCATTGTTTCTGTCCTTCTAAAAACTAAATGGTATTGTTAGTTTTCATTTATTTGTGTTTGAAAATAAACAAAAAGCCCATTTCTGCCCCATTTTATGTAGCCTACCAAAATCATGCTTATATCAACTTACAGTATGGTTTGTGTTCCAGTTTCACAATAATTGTGTTGCATTTCTTTATTTTATAGTTGTATAAAATTTACTTGTATGCATATGTCATAGTGTCTCTAATGAGTTCAACCAGCAGGTACATTGAGCTTGCTACCAATCTTCTGCTACTACAAACAGATGCAGAGAGAAAGCTATGCACGTGATTCATTTTAAATTTGTATAAATGTATCTATGAGATAAATTTCTAAAATTAGAATTTGGGGGGTCAAAGATCGTGTACCTGTTTAAATTTTTTTAGTTACTCACATGCTTTTGTCTGTAAATCTTAAATAACATTCAAATATTGGTTATTTTTTAAATTTATGACTGATTAATAAAGAGATCTGTCAACGTTACAATTTGTATTTTAAATGCTATAAGTTATGTTCAATGCCTTCCTCATATATTTAAAGACTCATTTTTTTCTGTACACTGTGTAGTAATGCAGCCATGTTCTAGCACTTAGTCATGTATTAATATTAACCTTATGACATGAAACAGTTGCTCACTTTAACTTTTAATTCTGTTTGTTGTATCTCTTGGGCACTTAATTTTTTTTTAATTTATTACAATTTATTCACTTTGTGTCCCAGCTGCTCTTGGGCATTTTATATAAAAGACATTAATATTTTATAACCCACCTCCTTTCCTTCCTTCTTTCCTTCTCTCTCTCTCTCTCTCTCTCTCTCTCTCTCTCTCTTTCTGCTCATGTTTTTGTGGGTGCACATGTTTTTGTGTGCTTGCATGTTGAGGCAACCTCAGCTGTCTTTTTTCAGGAACTAGTCACATGGCTCTGTGAGGCAGAGTGCCTCACTGGGACCTATTGTCTCTCCAATTAGCCTAGGCTACCTAGCCAGTGGGCCCCAGATACCTGCTTCTCTCTGCTTCCCCAGCAGTGGGATTCTTGGAACCTGCCACAGTGCCCAGCTTTTTATATGTGTTCCTGCCAGGTCCTCATGCATGCGCAACAGGCACATTACTGACTGAGCCATCTCCCCTGCACAAGGGCTTAAATAGCTTTTGAAATTATTCTTTAAAGTTTACATAACTTTAACTTTAAAACTATTAAAGCAATTACTCCACGCATTCTTTATTTTGCATAATTATGCCTTCTCTTTAAAGAAATTTATCTCTATTATGGAAATTTTTCAATTGGCCTTAAACAATGTTTTACTCTTGTTTATTTTTAACTTTTAATTTCTGCTTTTATCTTTATAATTACTTCTGTTTTCCTTTTACTTTATTCTTCTTTTTTCAACTTTTCATGGTATATGCTTGGTTCTTTTATGTTCATTATTAATTACATGTTTCTATAATAATTCAGTGCCAAATTTTCCTTTGACCTCCACTGTAAATGAATCATAAATTTTAAAAATGGTACTTTTATTAAAATTATTTTATGCAATATGCCAATTCATTTTTGCTTTTAATTGAAAATCTTTTTTTTTTCATACACCATATCCTGATTATGGTTTCCCCTTCTTCTACCTCTCCAAGTTTCTCCCCACTTTACCTCCCATCTGGATCTACCCCATCTCTGTCTCTTGTTAGAAAGCAAACAGGATTCTGTGGGGATATAATATAATTCAATATAAGATAAGATAAGATGAAACAAAAACAAAATCAGGTCAAAATAAAAAGAGGGAAAAGAATTCAAAAAGATACAAGAAACACATAATAGTTGCAGAGACCCGTTTGAAAACACACTCAGAAATC